TAGTGGTATATTTGCACCTTCCCTCTGTGTTGTTGTTTCTTGCTGATTGCTTTTAAGGGAGGGGCTTGACTTTTACTGGAGTGTTTTTGCTTTTATATCATCTAAGGAATTTTTGTTTGTTTTGGGTTGGGTTTGTTGTCAGTTTCTCTTATTGTTGATTTTAGTTTGTGGGTCCTTTTTGTTTTTTTCCCCAGAAGTAACCAGCCTCATTCCTGCAGGCTGGTTATCTAGTTGGTTAAGAGATTATTTTTTATTAGATATGAGAAAGACAAACTGTATGATACTTTTTAAATGTATAAGCTCTGTTAAGTTTTCAATTTCCCAGCACACCGGACATTGAAACAGTCTGGATCCTATTTAACAAACATTGTTGAATGTATTCAGTTAATAAAAGCTTGGCAAATATTAGTAAAGGGCTTGTAATGGTTGTGAGTGACATAAAGGTTAAAAGCTTTCGATAGCATTGCACCAAACTGGAGTAAACCTTGAAGAAAATGAAGTGATGTGTCAGTAAGAAATCTCAGTAGTGATTAGGACATCATGAAATACTCATTTCTCAGAAACAGGAAAAGATGCAACTGTTCCACAAGTCTGACTTTGGTTTTAGAACTTGAAACTTTTAACATTATTTAGATCACACTGTCCTGTTCTCTCGTTATCATAAAGTGTATACAAACTAAAACAAGAATAAAATTCCTTCACTGTTCCAGCCTGTCAGTTCCTGGGAAAGCAAAATGTTTTCTTTCTGATGCATAAACTACACTGTTCCTCCATAACGACAAGGACAGGAGAAGAAAGGGCTTTGAGGTAGATTAGCATATAGGGAATGTTATCTCTTGGTGTAAACTTTATCATTTTTTTTTGCTTTGCTTTGCTTGCTGCCCTCCCTGCGCAGAGGAAAGGTGTCCGTGTATCTCAGGACACAAGGAGGCTTCCCAGTGCCTCCCCAGAGCTCAACAGCCCAGGGGAGAGGCACAACGGGAACACCAGAAAGCACACGTTGTTTCAGGATCTCTGTAAACACTGGATTCCAGCTCCCAAAACCACTCTTAGATTCACTTTCTTTAAAGGCTTGTCTGGACGAGGATAAAGGTGTATTAAAAAAAAAAAAAAAAAAAGTGTCAGTGAAAACTTTTAATTAACATGTTTTCAAATTCTCGGTGTTGACGGGGTGTGTTGCATTTTAGTGCATTTGCCAGCAAACATGTTAAAATACATTTGTGTCCCATCTAACATGGCAAGTTAGGACACGTTTTTAAAAGTTTCAAAATTTAACAGGAGTTAAAAGTGTTTATGATTGTGCTTTTACCTGAGCTGAGGGTGAATGTCACTGGTGGGTTTTCCTGGGACTCCAGAGAGCAGCTGCTGTACTGGCAAGGACCTGTTATTTAGCTGCTTTCTCCTTTTCCTGAACTGTCAAGTGAAAGTAACATTTCATTTACCTGCCTTGCAGGAATGGATGAAAAGGAAGGTTTATACTGTATTGGGGGAAAAAAATTAAAGCTGCTTATTAGTGAGATGGGAGGTTGGGCAGTGTTTATATGGCCAGCCATGCTTTCACAGGGCGGGAAATAGCAGTTTCAGATGTAAGGTCAGGATTTTCATAGCCACATGACCCACCCAGAGCACGGCACCACATTCAGCTGTTGTTCCAAACGCGGCCAAACACTTTGCGGGGACAACTTTGCCTCCGCTGCTCCTGGGCTGAAGGCTAGTTGCTTCTTCTCCAGCCTCCCCACAGAAGCTCTGCATAAAGTTGACATAAGCATTATATACCATGCTTATACCTGTCCAGCTTGACAGAAGGGTCTGTGATTGTGCCCAAAGTCATAGCTGCAAGGCACAGATTCAGTATTAATGATCACGAAGTCACAGCTGAGCATCAGTAACCCCGACGCTGATTTGCTGGGCAGCACTCTACAAACCATTTCATCAGTCCACACCTCAGTCCTCCCCCTTCCCAAGAGGTAGAGGATGAAAATAAATCTCAGAAGTCGTATTTTGGAAGCACTGTAGAAAAGATAAGTTCATCTGGGGGGCGGAGGGTGCAACACACAGTTAAAATCAGGAAATGGGACATGAAGAGACCCTTAACCTTTGGTGGAGCTAAGGAAGGCAAATCCAGCCACCCTCCTGAGGACAGATCCCCAGCCTCATCTCTTCTTGTTCATTTTTGGGCTTCTCAGAGTTGTCTCTCAGTCTTGGCTGTCACGTTCTTAGAAATATTGTTGCCCATGCCACACGGGGGGGGGTGTGTGTGTGTGCGTGTGTGATTTTTTGCTGGCACAGCTGTTGTGGAGAAAGCCCTACCACAAACACACTTAACAATGGTAACATTTTTTTCAGACACCAAATCTCCAACGGCTGATATACAAGCATCTTTACACTGGTACATCCTTTCTCCTGACAAAGAAGTGCTGCAACAACTTATTTGTGGAAGGCACTGTAGAAAATTGGTATTTTCACATTCATATCTGATTAGTCGTGCTGCAATACACCAATGAGGGATTGTTTTGGGTTTGGGTTTGTTTTGTTGTTTGTTTTTTTTCTCTTTTCTTTCTTTTTCCCCCCCCTTGGAAGGAGATGAAAAGACCAGGAACTTGAGTAAAGTCAAGTTTAAGAATGAGGAATCTCCCCTCCAGCGCATCTGTTTGCTTGGCGCTTAAAGGTGTGGTGTGACAAGGAGCAGCCTGGTTACTGGTGGGCTCAAAAGGTCAGTCAAGGGATTAAATCTTGTATTTGCACCTCACGTTCAAGGGTTTGAGTTAGAAAGCAGAGATAGCTGTCCAGGTTGTAGTGCACTGGAGCTGACAAAGGGAGTGTATCTATATTCCAGATTTCCTGCTTGTCCAGAGACTCTGCAGAACTTGTGGAACTAAACATCTAGAATAACATCAGTCATTCCTTTCATTTAAAGTTGTAAAACGTCGAAATGGTCGAAAAACATAACAAAAGCATAATGCAAAGCATACGCTGTCAAAAATCCCACAACAGTCACTCTGTGAAATTTTTCAGTGACACTACTCAGAAATTCACATGGAGCCACAGTGGAAAGTAGAACTGCCCATGCCCACGCAGGTGAAATAGATATATATATATATATACCCGTGCAAGGTGGACAGACGACTTTTGATACTGATTGTGAGGTCCTGTCACGGTCTTCCAGCAGGTCTTCTCTTTACATCAACCGGTGTAAAAAAAAAAAACAACAAATAACAAACAACCCCCCGAAACAACAAAGGACAACAGAACAGAATCACGATCTGCTTAATATCCAGATTAAAAGGAGGAGAGAAAGCGCTACGCGTGGAGTCCCCTCGGGAAGCGGAGGAGGATCACGACGAAGGAAGCTCCCGGGCTGTCTGTCCGTGCCCCACGGTCGCGCCGCCGTCACGCCGCCAGGTGAGCCCTCCGCAGCTCTCTCCGTCCCCTCCGGCCGCCGGTGCCGCCCTCCGCCGCGCCCCGCAGCCCCACGCACCCCCGGGGCGGGCGGCAGCACCGGGACCCCCGGAGACCGGCTCCCGCCACCGCGGCCTCCGGCAGCAGCCGCCGCGGCGCCCCC